TATACTAACGAAAAGCAAAGAAGAATAAACAACCTTGTTATGATGTACATGTATATCGAAAGAATTCACATGACACCAAATTAATTTTGGTACATATGATAAATATTTATACTTATAAAAAAAATTACTACATTTACTAAATTTTGAAAAATTAAGCTATCATTCTGATAACGTGTTGTAAAAAGAAAGAAAAGAGAAAAGAATAGAGAGAAATCAATAGACTTGTGTTTTATTAAGAACTAAAGCCCTCTATTTATAGGGTAGAATCAGAGGTACGACGATAATAATTTTTAGGGTTGCAGGGGTATAATTGTCATTCACCAATAAACCCTAATGAACTTTCCTTTTTACAACAGATGAGTTGAAATTGGTTTTAGCTTGCAGCCAATGCTATCTCTTTCCTCTTCCTTCCCCTTTCTCTCTGAATTTCTGCTTCTTCTTCAGTTTCTTTTCCCATTCTCTCCGATTTCTTCCAACTTTCTTGCTTCCTTATTCTTTATCCTGCATCACTTACAAGGAAAATAAATTTTTTGACATCGGCAAGGAAGATTTGGAACTTGGTTAGTAATATTTAATGACGTTCAAATGACTTCGAACCCCAATTCAACTGTTAATTCCCCATGCCAAATTCTGAAAAGTCTTTGTTGATTTTCTTTGCAATGGTTGGGAGGGAAAAATGTTGCGCTGTTGATTTCCTTGCGTGTAATGGTTTTTATCCTTTTTTCTATATGACAGGTGATGACGATGTGGTTAAAGAAACGGAAACTAAGAGTCTAATCTTCTTGGCGAGTGGATAAAACAACTACTTAGTGATCACATGGCAAAAGTGCAAGTGTCTAAGCATTTAAGCTTATCACCATGTGTGCTTGGTTCTGGAGTCTAAGTGTTTAAGCTTATCACACTTGTAACTTCTATAGCCTAAAAGCCTATTTGAGTCACATTATTTCAAAAAAATGCATTATTTAACAATAATTTGACATCATTTCAACTACATATTTTTCAATAAAATAATATTACACGCAAATAAAAAAAAATTCCTCATTTTTTAACCACATATTTTTCATCAATACACTATTCAAGAATGCATTATTACCAAAATAATGTGGTTCAAACACCCCCTAAATTTATTTTTCTGCCTTTTATATTGCTTCAATCAATAAAATCATTAAATTGGAAACACTAGAAGACATGAATCTTATAAATTGTTAAAAGCTCATCTTACTTTCTGGAATGACCTTATCGTTGGCGCTGTCGACCAGATCTTAATGATATACTGCAAAAGTTCGATCCAGGCATTCTTACTATTGCTGAATTGTTATTTTTGAACCTAATTTAATTTTTACATTTCATTTTTTCAGGCTACATGAAAGAATGGGCCAGATAGCACTGATGCTAAGAGGGCTGTGGAACTTTTGTATGATACAGCCTCGATCTCCAATGGGTTCGCTGTAACTATGAAGGAAACTTTAATTGCGTGTTTAATATAGTAGATTAGACACGACTAAATGCTATCAAAGAAAAAGAATTGAGTTAAAATCTGATCTTTTGCGTCGTCCAGTACAACTGATTGGGTAATAGTCTTGTTTAATCTGCAATGTAACAATTTTTTCCTTGATTATTGTCAATGGCAACATGATATACGATCTGATGGCAATGGCCCTTGGAGGAAGGTGGGGGCAGACTCAAGCAGAATCCACTGAAAATGCTACAGAGTCTGACGCAAGCTCATCTGATGGTTCGAAAACTCACGTTGTCGAGGCGTCAGAAGTGAGGACTGAGAATGATCCTTGAAGGGCTTGACGAGGGCATCAGTTCCCCATCTTTTATCAGATTTTTGGTACGATTGTCCTCAACAGTTTGTTGGGAATTTACTTATTATACACAGCAAAAAATAAAACAAATTTTAATTGCCATCAAAGATCTGTTTTGTCTTTAAATAGAAATTGTGATAGAAATTATATTTTTATCGAAGCCTGCAAACTCCTTTGCGTTACTTTTGTTACAACAACCTTGATCTGTCACTCACAACTGTTCAATTATCCAATTTTCAATGAAAATTCATACACGAATGAGAACTAGGGTTTACTTTTCTTGTACTAGCAAGATGAATGAAAATCTCTATAATTTTTAAACCCTAGCAGCTTATATATATAAGCACGAACAGGCTTGGCTAGTCTCTTAACCCGACTTAGTATTTAATTAATTCATTAAATTAAATCTGGTCTATGAATTAATTAATCAAATTAATTTATTCAGGTCTATTAATAAGTTGTCAAATTAATTAATTTATCCAACGCTTATTAAATTAATTAATTAGTAAATCGCAATCTTTTAATTTTCCTTTTGTGTGTGACCTATTACATTCCTTATCACGATACCTAACGACGTAAATTATTATTTTGATATAATCGAAACTGATAAATTAAAACACCATTTTAATTTATCACCAATTCATATTCATCGTCCCAAATTGGCATCTAGTAATGTGTCAGAACAATACATGTTATGGGAAATGTCATGTGGTATGACAAAATCAAACTTGTTCGTTTACCGTGAAACTATAATCCCTTTGTTAATATAATCTGATCAATTGCAAGATATGAAAGTGTATCAATCTCGATTATCGATCATAACTTTCATTTCACTATTAAGTTAATATAAATCGAAAAACTTCTTTTCAATTTATGAGTACACTTTAACCAAAGATTTCGTTATCAACTTAACTAAGTGAAATGTGGATCATAATCTCTTATAATCCAAAAGTGACCAATCATCTTTTGGTCATTCACAACCTTTTTATGATGATATATCCGAATGATATCGTATTAACGGTCATTAGCAGAGCAACGTCCAATATCATCAAAGTATGATCGTCCTCATATAAGGCATTATGATGACCTCAAATCAAATGACCAATTTCACTACCGAACATTAGAGATCAACCATTAACACTTAAATAGTTATCCGTGTGGAATATCTTAACGGGTTTCCAATGTTTTGTTCTATAACAAAATATTCACGTATTCATTTAAGTGTCATCACACTTTAACTTGTGAGATCAGCTACTTACTTCACAAGTATGAAATGCCACATGTGATGGTCTATCCGTAATAACGATATCCGTATATTGTTGTTACTTACGACAACGAATGATTTAAGATTCAATCATATGTAATTTGCATCTCACAACCACAATTAGTAGCACTTTGGTGTCTTCAAAAAATATTTTCTCTGGGTTTTAGAATATTTTCAAGAGACTTAAATTTGAAAGAGGAAGCGTATTTAAATTATGAGTAAACTTTTTATATATTTCAACCAACTCAGTGTGTGTGTATTGAATATAATATGAATAAATTAAATAATATAGTATTGAAACTTGCAATTTTATTAAATTTAATAATAATATTTTCATATGTTTGGCCTATATTTTTAAATATTATTTATTTCATTTTTTGTTATGTCTTGCTATTTGTTTTGCTCTAGAATTGGAGGGTGATGAAAATTATGATGCAATAGGAATTTATGGTGGTGATCAAGATTTTCTCAATCACTGTGAATTCTGATATGCCATTAATCCACCATTCAGATCCTCACGATTGTGTGAACATGCTCAAGAAAATTTATTATGAGTATTTGGAACTTTTGTAATTGTTTAGAGTTAGCAATCGAGTATTTACAACATTTGTCTTTGTATATAATTGGCAATTGATGTAGATTGTGGAATGCAAAATATTGCTTGCTAGCTCACTCATATATCACTGCCGTATTGTATTTGGAGATTAGAGTATTGAAAATGATTGCTGTACACCAACACTTGCAGGTTTTTTTTTTTTTGTAGATTGACAAAGATACAGAAAAAAGTGACATTTTTCTTTTATTATGGTGAGATATTGTCTCAATCAAATATCATCATATCATCAGTTGGCAATCAAATTTGTAAATTGGAATATACATATAGTACAATCGTAATAATTTATAATTGTGGTCTACGATTTATGCATGCGACAATAATTAACATATAGCAACATGATTAATACAACCCTATCATTGAGATAAATTACAATTTCAAAAAATTACATATAATGTAATCGGGAATAAGACGAATATAAGTTACAATTATTGAAATTTATTAAATGCTATAATTTGGAAAAGAAAAAAAAATCATACACTATAAAATAATTATTTAAACTGCAATTGTCAGATTTTTCTTTAATGCCATGGACGTTGTAATTTTGCAAAATTTAATAAAAATCAATATTTTTCAATTACCACCATATTTTATCTATGTTTTTGTAAATTATCCTTAAAATAAAATAAAAATTCACTTTTAAAGAGTTTATTGGACATGCTTTTAGCTTGACTGTAGTTCTTACAGTCCTACCCATCAACCTCAAAGTATGAAATCAAGTTTGGGCTTACATTGTTCCCCGGGGCATATCCCAACTGACAAAGGATAGAGTTCTTCAAGGCAGGCAATTCAGAGGTCTCGGGTTCGATTCATGGGGTTCTTTGAAGGCAAGGCTTTCTTCTGAAAGGTAGGATATTTCCCTGAAGGCATGATATCCTTGGAAGGCAAGGTGTATACATGCGTTTGACTCGCTTGGCACTTTGGCAGTTCGGTTGGGGGGACTCTTGGACTCTGGTCAGTTTGGGACACAACCTACGATTTACCTGGTTTGCGTGAAGAGGGGATGGATCGTAGACCCCAGAATTAGTCGATGTAAGGTGGACACCTAGGTATAAAAAAAAAAGTTTGGGCCTACATTTTCGGTGTTTATTATTAGATTAGGCTGAAGAGTGTAACAAAAAGAATTGTAACTTTCCTTACATATTGTTCAATGATATCCAATCATCCTACCGAGTGGCCATTCTTATATATACACAACCAAGTAAAACTAAATAGTTATATTATTCAAAGTCAGCGACGGCACGAACTATCACATAGGATGACCATGAACAACATTACTCAAAACTAAAAATTTCTATTGTTCTTGACTTCTTGTACATGTTCTTCTTCCACACGCTTCAAGAATTTGTACAATATCATCTTATTCCATCCATTTCAATATTTTCACTTGCAAAATCAAACCATGACAATCAAAGCAATAAATTAGCATAAGGAAAACAAGAAGTCCACAAGAAAATTGAAGAAAAATGCAGTTTCTGTTTGTATTTCTGATGAAAAAATCAAACTTTTGCACAAGAATGCAGAAAAAAGTACAACTGCTGATCAAGAATTCAATGGGGCTTCATTTGCTGGTCCACTGTTTAACTTGTCCACTACCATATTTGGTGCTGGAATCATGGCACTGCCTGCCACCAAGAAAGTTTTACGCCTGGTTCATAGTGTTTGTTGGAGTCCTCATGGAGTTTTCCGTAGGCATGTTGTTAAGGTTCAGTAAGGCCGGTGGCGTTGTTTCCTACGGAGGCATTATGGGGGATGCATTTGGGAATGTTGGAAGGAGAATTTTAGAAGTTTGTGTGGTGATCAATAATATTGGTGTACTAACTGTGTACATCATCATCATTGGTACGTGTTCCATGATTTTTACTCTTTTTTTGTGATTTTATAAGGTTCTGAATTGTGGATTTTGTTATATGAACTGGTTTTTTGCCTTTTATGTCTTTTAATTCGTGAAGGTGATGTGCTTTCTGGGACTTATTCAAATGGGATTCAACATTCTGGTTTGTTGGAGGGATGGTTTGGAGAACACTGGTGGAATGGTCGTTCATTTGTTTTTTCTTGTGAAAAATTTTGTGTTAATTATTGCCTCAAAATTTGGTCAAAGATTTGGAAAGAAATCTTAATGAAATCAAGAAGGAAAAGAAAGGAATCAATTGAATCAAAAAATAATAATAATAATAATAATAAGGAAACAAAATTTGGTCTTCTGACACAAGATATTAATTTGGACATGTCTTTTTTCTATTTACGTGATTTTTTTCCTAATTTCCATCTTTTGCCTAGTTTTAGCGTTTGACTCGTGTACTATAAATATGTAGCTCCTCTTTCAGTTTAGTAGAAGCCAATATTGCTGTGGGTTTGTATTCTCTTCACATTGTCAATTAATAATACATCTTGCCTATGCGTTTAACTCTCTTTTCTTCTTTACTTTAAATCTTGATATATATTATTAAATTATTGCAATCCATATTAACTTCATATTGCGTCATTAACTTCATTCTTTACAACCCGTCGATCCCAACAAGTGGTATCAGAGCTTGGATCTTTTGTGGATTGGTTGAAGTTTTTCATAGATGACTGCCATGAAATTTGATATTCCGCTGTTGGATCGCAATACAAGGTTTTCGTTGTGGCAAGTAAAGATGAGGGCTATTTTGTCGCAGTTGGATTTGGACGATGTTTTGCTAGGTTTTGAGAAGATGCCAGCTAATTGGACAATGGAGGAGAAACAACGGAAGGATCGGAAGGCTTTGTCATTGATTCATCTTCCTCTATCCAATAATATTCTGCAGGATATCTTGAAAGAGAAAATTGCTGCTGCTTTGTGGTTGAAATTGGAGCAGTTGTGCATGACCAAGAGTCTTACTAGCAAATTGGCTCTAAAGTAGAAGTTGTATTCCCATCGAATGGCAGAAGGAGGGTCGTTGGAAGACCATATTGCCGTGTTTAAGGAAATTGTCGCAGATTTGGAGACATTAGAGGTTAAATATGATGAAGACGATCTGGCCTTGATCCTGTTATGTTCGCTGGCGGGCTCTTATGTTTCGTTTCGGGTACTATACATGTTGACTATAGATGATGTCTATGATGCGTTGCACTCAAAGGAGAAGCTGAAGCATCTGGTTGGAGCTACATCAAGTGATGGGGAGGCTCTTGTATCTCATGGTGGTCGACGGAGAGGCAGATTTAGGGAGAGCAGCAATGTGTATTGCTTCTACTGCAGACGGAGAGGACACTTGAAGAAGGATTGTGAGAAGTTACAGGCTAAAGGTGATTTAGCTGCAAATCATAGGGGACAATCATGGAATTCGGACGAGACTAATGTGATCGAGGATTTTCGGATGGCGGAGATGTGATGTTGACTGTGGTTTCTGACATGGAATCTAAGCTTGACAAGGAGTGGATTCTCGATTCGGCATGTTCGCACCATGTGTGTTCCGATAGGAATTTATTTCAGACATATGAGGCTGTTCAGTAAAGTGGAGTTGTAATGGGGAACGACAAGTCTTGCCATATTGCCGGAATCGGTCGAGTCAGATTGCGGTTGCAGGATGGGACGATTAGAACACTTGGCTAAGTTCGACATGTTCCAGACCTAAAGAGGAATCTCATCTCGCTGAGTACCCTAGATGCAAAATGGTATAAATTCTCTAGTGGAGGTGGAGTCTTGAAGGTTCGAAGGGGTGTCCAGGTTGTACTGGAGAGACGGAAGAGATCCCAATTGTACATATTGCAGGGAAGTGCAGAACCAATTTTGAGACCTCGGGACAAGTTCAGTACCGTGGTGGATATACAATTTGGTACTATACCTCTTGTGACGAGCTCTGGATCGGTTCAGAACACTATTAGGGAGAGCGTTAGTGATTCTACTTTATCACCAATTTCAGCAGTTGCACTGTGTTCAAATGTCAGGGGTGGACTCATGGAGAGTAGGTACGGTGGTGTTATTGATGTCTGTAATGCTTTTAGGATCGTTAAAGGTGACAGTTCTGACAAGGGGCCTTCTGATCAAGCACTTGATTTGGTTTCTGCTACAGGGTGTGCTTTGACCCTGTTTAGTCAACGTTAATTCCTTGATGGAATTTTGGGAGCCCGGGATTTGGGTTTAGGTGTCGCTTGTGGATGCCTTGTAGAGGAAGATGGTTTTGGTGATGGAGACTTTTTGTTACTGTGTTGAGGAGTTTGGTCATTTCGTTGTACCAAAATTTCGAGTCAAGATGGAGATTGTTAATTATTGCCTTAAAATTTGGTCAAAGATTTGGAAAGAAATCTTAATGGAATCAAGAAGGAAAAGAAAGGAATCAATTGAATAAAAAAATAAATAAATAAGAAAACAAAATTTGGTCTTCTGACACAAGATATTAATTTGGACACGTCTTTTTCCTATTTACGTGATTTTTTTCATAATTTCCATCTTTTGCCTAGTTTTAGCATTTGACTCGTGTACTATAAATATGTGGCTCCTCTTTCAGTTTAGTAGAAGCCAATATTGTTGTGGCGTTGTATTCTCTTCACATTGTCAATTAATATAATATATCTTGCCTCTGCGTTTAATTCTCTTTTCTTCTTTACTTTAAACCTTGATATATATTAATATATTGTTGCAATCCATATTAACTTCATATCACGTCATTAACTTCATTCTTTACAACCTGTCGATCCCAACATTTTGTTGTGCTTGCTTCTCTGACATCTTTCAGGCGAATAGTTATCTTCGGTTTTGAACAAGCTTTGCAAACTGAGATTCTTCGGAAACTCTAGGAGAAGTTTTGAAATTTTGAAAACAAGTTTCGTGACTTTTTATTTTTTGATAAAATTCAGAAAACTTCTAGAAAACTTTAAAAAGATTTTTAACAAGTGATTAGGATTTCTTTTGCCAAATATAATTACATTGACATAAAATCTGAAGATGACACAAAAAATTCCAATGTCAAGACTTCTGAAACCCTATTGAATGATGAAAAAGAACGAAACTCTATTTTGTAGTCTTTCACTTTTGTGCTAATAAATAAAATGCTGACAAGCAGATATTGGACACTCACATTCATATGAAAATTGATGATATAAATTTGGAAAGAATAAAGTTTTATCCCGTAAGTTCTAATGATTTCTGGCTTTTTTTTCTTGTCTAATTAAGTTCTGCTTTCTATGCCTGCAGATTCTTTGAGATACACCTCTGCTTTAGCAGTTATTCTGGCATTTGTTTTCCTAGTCATAACTGCATACATCTCTGTGTTTAAATTGGTGAAAGGCTCTATTGGAATGCCCAGATTGCTTCCTGATATTACTGATATTTATTCAGTCTGGAAACTTTTCACCTTCGTCCCTGTTCTTGTGACTGCCTATGTCTGCCATTTTAATGGTAAAGCAATTGTTTCTCGCGGTTTAAGTCGCTAACAATTAAAAAGGATCAGACGGTTGTGTAAGGGACGAAACCTCTTGAGACAAAGTCCCAAAAAGGGGTGTTTTTTTATTGGCGATGAACTTTACAATTGGGAATGAAAAACAACGTGCCTCCAAGGGGCGCAAGCACACGAGTTACAGAAAGAAAAATGTTTAAGTCTAAAAGCTAAGGAAATGAAAATGACATATTTTCTGTTCGAGAGTTTTGGATTCGGTCTTTTGCTTCTGCGTCCTTTCTCCCTTTTATACCTCATAGACGATCTCTTTGTGATTAACTACCCTAAAAACTGTTTGATCGTCCTATAACTACCCACTTTCTTTGTAGTGGCCATTTTGTCATGAAACTGCCTTTTAACTGCTGCCATTATCTTTCATCGTTCAACTGCTTTCGATTGAATTCCTTGAGTCGTGGAACGTGATAAGGCTACTTTAACAACTGCCTTGATAACCGCATTCCTTGATAACCACGATGCGTTATGTTTGTTGATACCTTGGACGACTTGAAGGTTTGGGCGAGAGTAGAATAACAGTTCTGGGCGACCGTATGACACTCCATTCGTTCAGATTCTGGGCGACTTACAAACTTGGGCGATGGCGTTACCGCATTCTTGGGCCCCTTATTTGGGCTTTCACCTTGATTCGTTCGATTGGACTTCGTTCTTTGGGCTATTCGATTTGGGGATCCTTCAATTGGGCTTTACTCCTTAGGCTGTTCGATTTGGGTTGAATTTTTATGTGTCAACAATTACCCCCCCAATATGGCAGAATTAATAATAATTATTGAATTTTGCCATATTCACTTCATGTTTCCAGCGACGTTCGAAATTCTCAAGAATTTCAATCATTGTTTCCTTTTATAACTTGAAAAAGTGCGTCGTTTTGCAAACCCTTATAAACCCCAAACACGCCATTTCACTGCTACCAAACCACGCCTCATATTTTCTGCATCTCTTTCACGATTCACTGTTCATCTTTTGCTTCCTTGTTACGTAACCCTGAAAAGCTTCGTTCATTCTCCAATGGCTGCTTCACAATCTCAAGCTAGCGATTCCTTTAGTTTTGATGACTTTCAGAAACTTCTGAGTCGCCCATACATAACCCCAAGTTTTCTCGCGCCTGCCGACGTTGGACGTAATGAGTTTTACTTGGGTCCTTTCTTCAACAATGCGGAGGCAGTTGAACAGGCGGTGGTGGGCCAGCTGTTTCCTTGCACTCATGGCCCTCCTTTTCTAAACTCTCTGCCGCTGGGGCCACTTAGCGAAAAAGGTATTCGCACTTGGCCTAAATCTGATGTAGCTTTTCGTAGGTGGCATGCTCGCCTTGTGGGTCATTGTCCTACTAAGGCACTTTTTGATAGCGCTAGGATTTCTGATTTGTTAGAAGTCTCTATTCGCCCCCTACTTTTGATTCAGCGCTCTTTCCGATTGCCTTGAGTTTTTGGTCCCCTGAGTACAACACCTTTATTTTTCCTCTTGGCCCCATGTTTATTACGTTAAGGGATGTTGGGGCCCTGGTGAATTTACCACCTTTGGGCGATACCATTTTCCCAGGTATCTTAGTTTCTGGTGGTGCCCCACAGTTCGGTAAAAACTACACCGATTCTTATTCAAGCCTGCAAACCCTCCATAATCATTGGAGCGCTGAGCCTACCCATGCTGAGCGAGTAGCCTTTCTTTTAGTTTGGCTTTGTAAATATGTTTTGTGTGTGCCAAGTATAAAGCCTTCTCTGAGTTATTTGCCTATAGCGCACGAATTGGCGCGTGGCAGGCCTTTGAATTTATGTTCTTTGTTTTTGGCTGCCCTTTATAGAGGTATGGCTTTTCTTCAAGCTCAATTGAAGAATGGTGCATCTCCCACTGGCAGTGGACCTCTTTGGTTTACTCAACTGTGGTTGAGATCCTATTTTCCATCGCTTGGTGCTCCATCCATTTCTCGTCCTTCTGCTAACTGTTACGGGCTAGCTATGGAGCCCTTAACTCCTATAAATATGTCCAGAAAGGACATTTTTTCATTCTTTTATTCTTTAGATTCAATTTCTTCCTTCTTTCCTTTTCCTCCTTTTTTGACTCCAAACTATGTACATCCTCCTTCCACTATAGAAAGCGCGAGCACCTCCCTGCTCATTTGGATCCAGTTTTTAACTGGGAGGGAGCTTTTCCATGATATCTTAACTGGGACCAATGCCAAAGCGGGGGTAGAAATTTATGCTCTCCAATTTTTTGCTCGTCAGCTTGGTTTTGGCCAAACTTGGCCTGTTCCTCTTTGCTATTCGAAGAGTTTAATTGACCGTTTTCATACCATTAATAAGGTGGAAGCAGAGGCTATAAACATTCGCAACCTCCATTTATCAAGCCACTTTTCATCAGCCCCTTTTAATTCTTGTCATGCTACTCACCCTCTTTTTGAACAACTCTGGCCATCGGTGAAGCGCAGATTATTTGCGACTGAGGCCAATCGTGCCTTTCATTCATTAGACCAACCGAGTATTTATTCTCCTCCTCCTGTTTTGGTCACTCCTTTGTCTATTCGAAGCCCCTCTCCTTCTCGTCGTACTAAACAATCTGCTCGTCCATCTTCTTCTCTCCCCGCCAGGCTTACTACGGCCAAGAGTGCTTTAAGCCGCAAACGGCTAGCCTCAGCATCTCCCATTCTGGAGGATGATGATGATGCCCCTCTTATCGTCAGGAGGAAGGTAATTAAATCAGTCTATTTACAAGTATGCTTTTCCACATTTGATACTTTTCTGTGTACTGATGATCTTTTGGACTTTTCAGAAAAGTTCAGCCTCCCCTTCAAAGGCTTTGGCATCGACAACTCCTGCTCCATCATCCTCTGCTGAGGCTACTTCATCCAAACCGGTTGGTGATGGGACCATGCTTAAAGATACATCTTCAGTCCCAGAGTCTTCATCACAACCCATGGATGAGTCACCTTCTTCCCAGGGTGTCGACCCCCCAATCATCGAAGCAGAAGGTAATTCAGTTTTTGATGTCTTACCTTTGCTCGTGCTATTGGTTTCTGATTTGTTGCTCTTGAACTTTGCATATACTCCTATGAGTCCGCCGGTTGTGGCAACATCGTCTCGCTCGGACAAGGGAAAGTCCTCACGAATGGATGAGTCGCTGGTGGCAAGCTTGGCCGAGGGCGCGCCATCTTCTACGATTGTCGACGAAGTAGTTTTTCTTTTTGCTTCATTTCTATTTCCACCTTGTTCATTGTAGTGAGGATTTTTAATATTGGCAACCTTCTTTGCAGGATGCTGACAGGATTGTGAGTTCTATCCAGGATTTGTTCGCTTCCTGGGGGCAGGTCCAAATGCCTCGTCCTGCTCCATCTAATTATCCTGCTGCTTCTTTAGAAGATGATTTGAAGTTCTTGAAGGAGTTGGTATTTGAGTACGTATCCTTCATGGATATTGACATTGGAAGAGCTAGTGCTGCCAGACACAAGGATGAACTTGAGCACTTGAGTGCGAAGTTAGAGCAAGCACTGACGCTTCCGTCGCTCAGTCTTTCTGCCGACTTTAAAGCGACATTGAAGGTCATTCACTCCGAGGTCCTTTCTATGCTGGCCAAGAATGCTGAACTAAAGGCCAAGCGCACTTAATATCTTCGAGCTGTGGCTGAGAAAGAGTCTTTACGCATGGAGATCAACAAAGCTAAGGACGAGTTGAAAGAAATCTCTTCCGAAGTCATGATTGAAGACTCTTTGATGGTTAACTTGGCTGCTCAGATGAGGGAACTTCAAGCCAAAATGGAAGATTGCAGGGCGAGGATGGATGCTAAAAAGAGCAACGCCTCTCAGGGGATTGAGCGAACTAAATCCTTGGTCGAACAGTACAAGAAGTTGGAGGTTGATGATGATGACGTTGCAGCTGAATTGAACATCACTTCCTCCCGGCAGAACGAGGATTGGGAAAAACTTAGGGAACAAATTCGTTCCTTATGGGGTAGACTGTAATTAAGACAGACGATGTCTTTTTCTCTTTTGTAACTTTGTTCATTATTAACGAACATTAACTTCTTGTGCATTTATTTGACGTTTATTTTCTAATCATCAATTCTTTAATCACTTAACTGCTTTGCACTAAGAATCTTGTCTATTCCCTTTTGATATTCCCACTACTGTTCCCAAGACTTAGGGCCATTTAATTCCGCCTATTAGACAGAAATGTGGCTGTTCATATTCTATCTCTTCATCTTCATCCCCCTATAAATGTTTCGCATTTTTCATCCTCTATCTTCATCTCTTCATTTTCTTATTCGAAACCCATTTGCTACCATTTCTTGGCATTCTGACGATCAACCTGATCCAAAAATGGACTGTTTAGTCCATCCGCCTTATATTTACCTTGATGTCACATTTGGTATGGGAGGTATAAGAAATATTTTCTGGCCAGCAGCGAAGTTCTTTCTTGCAAAATTCTTCCCATCGTCTCTTTGTTCTTCACAAGGAGTCAATGATGGGAGGCAATTTTTGGGCTGCATGTGGGCCACTTTGCTTGTTGAGAGTGCTTCTCAGTTTGCCTGCTGAGCGTGTTTCTCAGCCTCGCCATTGCAGCGATGCATTTAGGAAGGTGGTGAGGCCAGTACACCCTCTCACTCGTCAACCCCACCATTGCAGCGATGCAATTAGGAAAGCGGTAGGGCCAGTACACCCTCTTACTCATCAATCCCACCATTGCAGCGATGCATTTAGGAAGGCGGTGTGAAGCTTACTCAGCGATCAATCGGGAGATACTTTAGTTGTATTTTGTAGCACGTCCATCATTTGTATCTTTTGTATTCTTGTAATGAACGTTTGATAATAAAGAACTTTATTCGAACGTATTTCGCTCTGTCTTTATTATCTTTTGATCGTCCAGAATGTTTGGTTATGTTTTTATCTGTTCACATTCCCATAAAGAAGGAACATATTTTTTTAAATATTTGCCGTTAATGAATCTTACGTGCTTGGTGCCGTCTAGATCTTCCAAGTGGTACGCTCCATTAGGC